TCCCTTCCTGGATCTCTATGTGGAGTTATTTCTTCTGCCTAAAGACTTTCCTTTAGTTTTACTTTTAGTGAATATCTACAGGCAATGGATACTTTCGTATTTTCATTGTATAACAACATCTTTTTCGCCTTAATCTTTGAGGAATATTTTTGCTTGGTTAGGTTGGCAGTTATTTCTGTCAGCACTTTGAAGATGTCACTCCATTACATTTTGACTTCTGTCATTTCTGTTGCAAAGTCAGCTATTAATCTTATTTTTGCTCCTGTGAAGGTGATTTTTTTTTTTTTGTCTTTCTCAGATTTTGGAATTTTTTTCTTTGTTTTTGATTTTTATAAGTTTTACTATAATGACCTAAGTGTAGGGTTTTTTTTTTGTTTGTTTTGCTATTTATCCCATTTTGGGGTCACTGAGCATCTGGAATCTGTGTCTTGGTGTCTTTCATCATCTTTGAAAATTTCTCAGCAAGTATTTTTTCAAATATTGCTTTTGCCCCATTATTTTTCTCCTCTCCTTCTGGAACTTCCAATTATTTGTATGTTATACCTTTTCACTCTGTCCCATATGTATCTTATGCTCTTTTCTATATTTTATATTCTTTTTTCTCTGTGCTTTAGGCTATATTTTGCTGACATCTTTCTGTTCAGTAATTTTATCTGCTGTGTCTAATCTGCTGTTAAAACATCTTTAGTTTAAACTCATCTACAATATAAAAATTTTTCAGATTCAGATTTTCATTTGACTCTGTTTTGATTCCGTTTCTCTCCTAAAATTCTCTATCTTAACTTTATCTTTGTAAATATAGCAACCAAAGTTATTTAAAGTATGTATTTGAAAATTCCAGTATCTTTTTTTTTTTTTTTGTCCTTTTTGAGACTGGCCGCACCGCGCTCAGCCAGTGAGCGCTGTGAGCGCACCGGTCATCCCTATATAGGATCCGAACCCCGTGGTGGGAGCGCTACTGCGCTCCCAGCGCCACACTCTCCCGAGTGCGCCACGGGCTCGGCCCGAAAATTCCAGTATCTTAAACATTTGTAAGTCTCCATTATCTACTTTTCAAAAAAATCTCAGTTTTGTCACTTGGTCCTTTGCCTTGGCATGCCTGTTCATTTTTTATCACATGTAGGACATTGTATATGAAAAAATTCTAGGGGTAATTTGAAAGGTTTTACTTTTGCTTCTAAGGACAGACAATTTTAATCTGGTCTGGGAATGAACTCATTTGAAGCTCAGGTTCGGTTTTCATGTGGTCTGGTATAGTTTTTGTTTGCTCATACTCCTAGGCTATGGCCCTTAATGGGTTCTAGTCAAAAGCCTAGGGAAGTAGTTCTCAAATTTTAGCATGCATCTAATTCACCTGATGTTAAAACACAAATTTTGGACCCTATTCCCAAGGTTTCTGATTAACTAAGATGTAGGCCCAAGAATATGCATTTTTAATAGGTCCCAGGCAACGCTGATGCTGCTGACCTGGGGACCATACTTTGAGAACCACTGGTTAAAGGCTTTTTTCTAGTGTTATTCCTCCTCGGCAGGCCATGGACTCCCAGTTTTGTCTCCCCAGCCCCATGAGACTGCTAAAAGCCCTGCTCAGCTTGTCAGTCTCTTTCTGCTAGGCTTTTTATGCTTTCAGTTTGGCACCACTTAAAAATCAGTTAATGCCTCAAAGTTAAAAGCAGAGAAGAATGTCAGGCTTACAAGATCTTGCCCACTTGAGTTCTGTCTGTCTTAATAATTCTTTAGCACCTTTAAATCAATTTTTTAAATCCTGCTCTTTTGTTATTGTTGTTCTCAGTGTGAGGGTTGGTGTGGTCCAAGCTAGTCCATCATAGCTGGAAGTGATAAATATAAACCAATACAAACCATTATTTTGTATCTACACAATAAAATAGTTCCACTAAAGAAATGGTTCCCAAATGTTACATCAAAATCACTTGGAGAACTTATTTCTAGTCCTACCCAAAGCATGCTGGGTCTGAATTCTTCAGAAGATGTCAAAAGCATCTCATTTTTCACTAGCTCCCATTACATTTTTGATGCATACCCATGTTTTGGAAATAAAGCTCTAAAGAGCCAGAATTTGAAAGTAAAACCATCTCTCTTATAATTGAAAATAACAGATACACATTTTAAAATTATTGTCCAGTCTTTGTTATTCTGACAGTCTTCTTTGCATTTGGTCTAAAATAATAAGATTAAGGCAGCTTCGAAAATGTAATTTTTGGCATCCCCTAGCCACCCACCTTCCCACACTATTTCTCATACTCCTTCAAAGAAAAGGAATACAAATAAATTGTTATATATGCTGACTGAATGACTAACAAAATGTATGTTTTTTGATAAAAATTAAAGCATCCCAGGTTACCTCTCCTATCTCCAAGAAAGCCATGCTAATTTCTCCACCATCTTTGAGACAAAAGAGTTTGAAATGTTTTCTGGGTACCCTGCAAGGTTTTCTAAGATACTCATCATAGCTTTCTCAGATATAAAAGCAACAATCTAGCTCTGATGCAGAGGTAAATTTTATTCCAGGGCACTCGTGAGTGATATACAGTCCCAGAAATGGGATAGATACTTTCCTGTAACAGAGTACCAACAAAGAGGATAAAAGTCTGTGTCTCACACCTGCTGACATTCCTTCATTTTTCAGACAGCACCAGTTGCCCTTGAAGTAGAAAACAGAGGTGAAATGAAGCTGGCTCTGCAGTATGTCCCAGAGCCAATCCCTGGTATGTAATGGTTTTCTATCCAGATTCGTGCTCTTTCCTTATACCTTCCCTTTCCAAGGATTTATTTGGGTTCTATTATATTTTCAAAGGTGAAATATAAGCAAACTTATTAAGTCAGTAATTATATAAACCAAATGAGTCGTTCACAGTTGTAAACTAGAGAATTCTTATATTTTTATTGTGGTAAAAAACACAACATAAAATTTACCATCTTAATCATTTTTAAATGTACAGCTTAATAGTGTTGAGTATATTCACATTGTTGTGAAACAGATATCCAGAATTTTTTCATCTTACAAATCTGAAACTCTATACCCATTAAACAATAACTCTCCTTTCCCCTCCCCCCAGCTTCGGGTAACCACCATTCTACTTTCTGTTTCTATGAGAAAATTCTCATTTTTTCAGTCCAGTTTACAATCTTTGTTTTAACCTTCACTTCACTCTCCAAAAGGTTTGTATCTGCACAATGTGAATGGTCTTTACTGTATTCAGAATTTGGACCTATTGGGCCGGCCCGGTGGCGCACTGGAGAGTTTGCCGCTTGCGAGCGCGGTGGCGCTCCCGCTGAGGGTTCGGATCCCATGTGGAGACTGGTTCCCGCTCACTGGCTGAGCACGGTGTGGGCGCAACACCTAGGGTTGCGATTCCATTGCCGGTCCCCAGGATGGGCGCGACACCGAGGATTGCGATCCCGTTGCCGGTCAGTAAAAAAGACAAAAAGGAAAAAAAAAAAAAAAAGAATTTGGACCTATTGATAGTGTGATAAGAATGGAATTTAATGTCCTTTTTCACAGGGAATTAGAACAATTCATAGGAAGTCTCTAAGTAATTAGAGCTCATTGGTCCTTCACTCTCAGGACCTCATTAGGAGATAAAGCTTTTTCCTCAAGATTACTAATTGCATCTTTGACATTTGGGCCTCAGGTCTTCTTTTCTTGTGTAGTTTTTCTTCCCTGGAATGGCTTCCTTTTTCCTCAGCCTATACAAGTCTTAGATGAAGCCCCATCTCCTCCATAAAGCTTTTTCTGACTATATTAGCTCTCATGTCTAGAAGATCATATCATCTTCTAGAACACCAGAGTAATAACTTGGCATTTCACTCTACATTTTTACAGTTTCTATTTGAAATACTCTCTTTATCTTAACTGTAAACATTTCCTAGGGCATAGATTATTTCTTTTATTCCTTGTAGATCCAAGGACATTCCTAGTGTAAGAATGAGCACATAGTAGATGCTCATCAAATACTGTTTGGTTGACTGATTGGCCTTAACCCATCCAGAATAATCTGGCCATGTCCCCTTGTTCCTGTGCACTCAGTCTAGACATCAACTTCAGACTAAGCCAACTTCTTAGTAATTTCCTATCCATGACATTAACTATTATGTGTGTATATACAATATCCCTATAAAATGTGTAACCAGTTTTAACAAGAGGAGTGGCTATACCTTAGCCAGTACCTGTTTTAGTTATTTTATACTCAAATATGTTTAAAGTGGCTTCTACCAGCACCAACTGATATTTGTATCAATATTTGAAAGTATATGCATTTCATTGAGATGTTTTGAATATAACTATAAATGGATGATTCACATCCCCGATATCTGATCTTGCTGAGCCAAGCAAAATCCAAAGAGAAGGATGTAATAATATTCTGTACTTGGAATCAATATGAATTTTTTATAGGACTATCTGAGCTTAGGACAGCTAGATTATGAAAGATATAGTTAAGAACATATAGATTTAATCAACTAGGATAATACCATCTAGCACTAGCTGGTACCTGTATCCCTGTGCCAGACCATTTTTAGGCTGACATCTTTGGACGCAGTATTGCCTAGATAGAAATGGCAGTAAAATGTTTTTCTTTTTTTTTTTTTCTATTACAGGTAAAAAGCCTCCTACAACTGGAGAAGTACACATCTGGGTGAAGGAATGCCTTGATTTACCATTGCTAAGGGGAAACCATCTAAATTCTTTTGTTAAATGGTAACAGCACTGATGATTCTACCTTTCTCAGTTCTACTATAGCCTGGCCTTTGCTGGTTGATTTCAGTTATCCATATCTGTGAAGCTGAAACTCATCATTCATAGTTTAAATGAATTTACTTGGGACAATGAAGACATGTATGAGAGGAATCTGTAATAAGAACTCCCTGTTAATCTTAAAATCATAAAGCTAAGAAGTCATATATACAAATGAAACTAGAGACCTCATACTTAGATATGTAAAGTCTTCTAGGGGGTACATCTATTGGTGAGGGCAATAATCAGTACAAAAGGGTCTATCAAATTTCTAATAGTGGGATGTCACACCCCTTGGATCCTTTGTGGAGCAGGGAGCATTCCTCCTCTCCTTTGTCCCACCTGTTTTGTGGCCTATTTGCGAAAGGTCTTTGCATCAGACTGTAGATATTTGAAAAATTACTTACCAAACAAACCCTTACTAAGGGTTAGCCATAAGAGCTTAACACGGTTTGGGTTTTTAAATGACAAACTTTTTTCTCTGTTATACATACAAGGGTACTTCAAAAAGTTTGTGGAAAAATAGAATTAAAAGATCTTTTTTTTTTTTTGACAGCTGGCCAGTGTGGGGATCTAAACCTTTGACCTTGGTATTACAAAGTTGTGCTCTAACCAACTGAGCCAACTGGCCAGGCAAAATTAAAAGATAATACAAATCTTTCCATGAGGCAAAATTAAAAGATAATACAAATCTTTCCATGAATTTTTTGAAGTATCCTTACATAAAGTAAGTAGCATCTAGTAAATAATAACTAAACAGATATTAGTATGCTCTCCTAGCTCCCTCTAATTTTACCTATATACATACTACCGGAAGACCAGTTGTAGCTATTTAAATATATGTGACATATATTAAAATACTATGACATTATTTATGATTTTTCCCTGTACATATTCTTCATAGATATCAGCTAGAAAGATTTTCAGCTCAGGTCATTCTCCCATTCTGAGACCACTCTCAGACCTTCTTGCCTTTAAAAGAGGCATAGCAGGGTAAAGTTCATTCAATTATTATTATAAATGAAACATAAATGATTCTGAAAAAATATCATATAATTTATTCCAAAGTCAAATTTAGCAAATTGGAGAGGTTTGTCTTCTTTTTCAATTCTGTATTATACTAATTCCTTAGGCTTACACAGATAATCAGGAATAGGCCATACTTCCAAATTTTATAGGAATCCTCAAGCAATTGCTACCATATTAAGCATTTACTAGATTCGGGCACTGAACATAGTGTTTTGCATATGTTATTTAATTCTAATATAAATCTTACAAAGTGAACATCACCATTCCATTTTATAGATGAAGAAGCAAGTGTCTGAGAGGTTAAGTAACTTCTCCTAGAATGCACAGCCAATAAGTAGCACAGTCAGGATTCAAATCAAGTCTGGCTGATTCTATGTCCAGAATCTTTGCAGCATGACGCCCCACCTCCTCTTCACACTCCTCTTTTCTCCATTGCCAGTCTTTAGCAGCTGTGCTGAATTGTACTGAAAGTATAAATATCCACTATCTTACTAAAATGCTGTTACAATAATGCCTCTTTTTGTAGTACCATCCTTCCAGATACAAGTAGGAAAAGTCGCCAGAAGACGAGAGCTGTAGGGAAAACCACCAATCCTGTCTTCAACCACACCATGGTTTATGATGGGTTCAGGCCTGAAGATCTGATGGAAGCCTGTGTAGAGCTCACTGTCTGGGACCATTACAAATTAACCAACCAGTTTTTGGGAGGTCTTCGGATTGGCTTTGGAACAGGTAACTTTTTTTTATATTTTTAATTCTCCATGAGTCAAATTCTTCTGGAGACACTAGAAGAATTTGTTTTGCTTTTTCCTGATGAAAACAGATATCCTGTCTCAGTTAAATATAATGAAATGAATGAGTGAAGAAATTTCAGACTGTGTGCCAGCGGCTCTAGATATGAGGATTAATGGGGTGCAGTGTCTGTTCATATAGAGCTTAAAGTATTGTGCATGTGTTGGGCAGGAGGGAACAGAAAAGCCTTCATCACTACTTTCTCCCCCCAAAACATTTATGGTCCTTCAAGGCTAAATTTGTGCTTTGAATAATAGTAGTAAATAACACTTATGGAGCACTAGTCACTGTATTAAATGATTTATTTGTATTATTTCATTTAATCCCACAATAATTCTATGAGGTAGTCACTAATGTTTTCCCCGAAGGAACTGGTATTCCAAGAAATTAGGTAACAGAACTACTAAGTGACAGAGTCAAGATTTGAAGTTGAGTCTGTTAGACACTAAAGTCTTCACCATGCTTCGTTAGAGACCATCTAGTGTCACCTCCAATCCAATACAGAATCCTCCCAACCCAATCAACCCATTCCTCCCCTATACCCCTGATGAATTGTTAGCTTTCACATTAATGTGAAGAGAAATCATTACTCTGGGAATTTTGGAAATGATCCCAATAATGGAGTTGCTCAGATGGTTAAACAGTTCTTCCTTGTATTGAGTCCTAGATCTGCTTTCTGGTGATTTTAAAACTCTTCCTAGCTGCCTTCCACTGGTGATTATAACTAAGGAATGACCTATTGTTTTTCCCCATGAGCTGTTCCTTCCTAAATAGTTTTTTTTTTTTTTTTTTAGGTAAAAGCTATGGGACTCACGTGGATTGGATGGACTCTACATCAGAAGAAGTTGCTCTCTGGGAGAAGATGGTAAATTCCCCCAACACTTGGATTGAAGCAACGCTGCCTCTCAGAATGCTTGTGATTGCCAAGATTGCCAAATGAGCCCAAAGTCCACTGGCTTCTCCACTGAAAGCTACTAAACAGGTGGAATCTGATCTTGAAAATTTGACTACATGGACAAAGATCCTCACTTTCTATCTATTGCCACTAGCAAATACTACACAGCATGTTTAAGTCAATCTGCATGTGCTGCATTTTCGATTACAAGGCCCAAGGAATATTAAATAATGAGAAAATTTGTAACTTATTTGTGACTCCAATATTAAAGAAGATATTTGAGCAAGCTAGGAAAATTGAACATTGCTGTTGCTTCAAAGAAAAAAGCTGTCCTAAAATGTGGGATATTGTTAACATGCTGAATGTTCTAGTTTGCCATCATATATTTTACATCACAATCTTGTGCCACAGTGAAAAGGGCCTGCTACTTGATTATCTAAAACCCTTGCAGGATTTGTGACTATGTAGGTTGTGGAAAAAAAACAGAAAGATACTATGTAGGTTGTGGAAAAAAACCAGAAAGATACTACTGGTGGAGCAGAGGAAGGAAGAACACCAATGATAATAAAGAATTTAACCATAAGGAAGCTATATACTCTGTAATCTTTAATAAAATATGGAATTCCATGTGAGGGCAATGACACTGAATTTACTGCGTGCATTTCTACCTTCAGAAACTGCTTTCCCTTTTCCAAAGTGTTAAAACAAAAAAGTCTCAAATATACTTTGGCGCCATCCACTGGCTGTAAGTGGAAGTCAATTCTTGGCTTGTTTTGGCTTGGTTCTATCCTAAAACAGGTCTCAAGCCTGCTTTTATAATAGAGTATGTAAAAAACAAAACTAACAAAAAACTTGCATATATGATTGTTTTCCTTATGACTTTACTATATAAAAGCAGCATAAGAGTAGTCACAGACATGCTTTGCAACAAAGTTTTAATTAGAATGTAAATTGTTCAATTTTTCTGTTCTTCCTATGTATGTGTAATTTTCATAAAGTGTTTTGTAAAAACCCTTAGTCAGAGTAAATTATCATATGATTTAAATCATATTGGAAAATTAGCCTGAATTCTTATTTTAAATGAAATACTTTATATTAGAGATCCTAAAGTCTAAATTCTCTAACAAGGCTAATGAACTTCTGCTGAGTTAATATTTCTCTAGAGTCTTTACTACAACTCTGGGCATTATTTCCTCTGAGTGGGTATGTTTGTCTATGTTGTTGAGTACCATTTTTATTTTTTAAAAAGTAGTTGATAACACCAGGGTCCAGGTTCAATCCCTGTATCAACCAGCTGCCAAAAAAAAAATGTTTTACATTAAAAAAAGATAGTTGGGGGGGAGGGAAGAAAACACAACAATTACAATTCCTTGAAGTTGATACGACAAGCAAACAGAAAGGACATTGTTGGGAGGGATGGGGGAGAGGCAGGAGGGAGGGAGGTTTTGGTAATGGGCCACGATAATCAACCACATTGTATATTGACAAAATAAAATTAAAATTAAAAATAAAGATAGTTGAAAAACTTGAAAGATAGGTTAGCATTTATTCTTAAAAGGTTTCCCATGGAGACTTTTTGGGGTAATTTTAGCATATGAAACATTACTCCCCCATAGGACCCAACTAGCTTGCCTTTCTCAAAACAAGCCTGGGTGATAGGTGAGCACAGGATCTTACAACAGGCATCTAATAAATCATCAAAAACAATGCCCTTTCCATTGTCTCCCTAGGTCTTTTAGGACAGTGTTCAGTCTAGCCGTAGTCTCTCTTCCTACCCTGTCTTCTGGAAGGGCAAGATGAACTAAGTGGAGGCACACCTCCAAGGTCAGCCTGGAACATAGTAGCAGAATTGCAAACCCAGTTCTGGCTTGTGCCACCTCATGGCACAAGCTGCTTTCTCAGCCCTTCTATCAGTTACCTGTTCAACCATCTCCCAGCATCCAGCTGATTCTAGAGCATTAATGAGATTGGTTCTGGTATCCCCTCACCTAACCTGGACTGCCTGCTTCCTCTCATCTCCAGGTCCCTCACCTTCAAAACACCAGAGTAGACAATAGAACCACTTACCTTCCTTGCATCTATTCAGAGCACTCCCAACTGCCTCAGGAAGTTTCACACCATAGGGATTTCACACCACATTTCTTTCTTTAAAAGAAAATACAGACAGTAAATTTAATCTTACCTGTCTACAAGAGTAAGGCTAAGGGTGAACTTCATGCATTATAAAATGTAGGCCATCTGAATTCTTCAGCAAACTGAAGCCACAGGCTTTTAAGCCAATATGTGTGACTTTTAAGCAAAGATCCTGCTAAAACTTCAAAGCATATTTTCTTAAACTGAATGCATTTCCTTGAACTGCATGTTTTACGGCTTTTTTCCCCCCTAGTTATTTTATTCTCAGAAACCCAACTGAAAATAAGCCAAAAAAGGGAATTTATTAGAAAGAGACTGGGTTAGCCCACTGAATTGAAGCACTGCAGGAATCTAGATTACTTTGGAGGCTTGCAGGCTGGAAGCAGGAATTCAGATGCTGTCTTCTTCCTCAGGGAGTGGGACTTAGGCCTTAGGCAGCTCCACCATCTCAAATTCTCAGCTAAAGCACTTTTCCATCCTAGGTTCACCTTGAGAGATCTTGGGGGAAGAGTGGCCAGGCTTGTGTCCCCCTCACTGTGGCCAGGAGTGGATGGAGTAAGATCTTGTGATTTGCACAGTCTGGGTAATGTGCCCACCCTGTGCCCAGGGGAAGATGGTTCATTATAAGAAGACTGGGGTGTTGTGTAGACATGGACACTGAAGAAATCAAGAGCCTTGACTTTACAGTTCCATTTCAGCATATGAAGCCTGAAATTTAAGGAAAAGTGAAGAAGAAAAAAAAAAGGAAAAATTACAAATAAGTGTAACTCAGATTTTTATGTCTTTAGAGCTCACTTTCACAAAATGTCAATATCATAATTTAAGTAGCTGTTAAAATTTCAGTTTAGGAAATTTTCTCAGTTAACCTTGCTTTTCTTGTACAGTATAGATAAGAGATTCAAGATTTGGGACATGAGACTCTGATCTTTGAGACCAAAGTGAAAATCTGAAACTCTCCTTTCAGATCTCTTTTGTTCCCAGTGAAATCTGAAATCTGAAGCATTTAAAAAATCCATCCAAGATCCCCAGCCCAGCCGAGCATGCACGGATCAGGAAGGACAAGTGGAAGATCCGCAGAGACCACGCGCCCTGTAGTGCTGGACACATATCTTCAGATTCAGGAAGCTCAAAGATCCCCAATGTATTCAACCCAAAAAGGTCTTCTCCAATACATGTTATAGTCAAATTGGCAAAACTCAAAG